CCTTTCCGTTTCTTTTCTCTTTTTCATTATGAACTAAACCCCCACCTTCGCGGAGGGAGGGGGTGAAGGGGGGAGGGGAGTCCTAAGCTTGCTGTAATATTCATGGTTGCTATGTTTTAGAATTTTAAAAATTGATTTAATAGAAGTGTGCTTATTTTCCATCTCACTAAATTTGTGTGGCCAGCTTGTTTAGTGTGTTAGCTCACTTGAGGCTCGAGAGAGTTTTTGTTGAGTGGATTTACTTATGTTAGCTATAGTTTTCCCTCTTTGCGAAGTGGAAGGTGAATACTCAGGGATGGGTTCACCCTAGAGCGCCTATAAATTGCTTGGATTGCTTGCTTTAATCACGACAAGAGTTGGGTTAAAGCATTGTGTAGGATATCTCGGGAGAGAGCCGTGAAGGTCTGGGTAGTCAATATTTTAAACTAATTTTAGGTAGCAACTTGGAGAAAAGCAGCACGCAGAACTCCCCTCCCCGATTTATTAACAAATCGTAGTCTTGCTTTATTATTGTGTTTTTTGGTGGATGCTCCTGAGTGTGATTAGAACTTTTATTAGTTGTTTGTTTGTTTACTCTTATGAATTTTAGATTTAATAAAACAAATCAAAGCATCTTTTATTTTTCTCTTTTGGTATTTCGAAGTTACTTACTAGATTTATCATCTATTTCCCTGAGGAGACGACCTTGTTAATGTACTACAACAGATAATCTAGCGTATACTTGCACTATATTTCCTAGTTGTGAGGAAACGGACAAGTTAGGTGAAAATTGGTGCAAGTGTACACCAAAACAATCTGTTGTAGTATAAAAACAAGGTCGTCTCCACAGGGATTACAGTTTACTTCAAATAGTAAATTAGAATACCAAAAAGCAAAATTAAAAATAAAATATTAAAGTTGGATGGATGCTGTAAAGGAAATAAAAAAAAAACAGTAAATAAGCAAGAACAGAAATATTCTGCAATTCTGCTCTAGAGCATCCGAAAATGGAAAACAAGCAGAAAATGCGAAAAAGATGCAATATGAAAGAAAATCGAGGGGGAATCACTCTAATTCTCTCACTCACATCTAGCTATGCTCTAGTAAATTCACAATGCTGAATGTCCAAACCGACGTGGTGATAAGCGCCAAGGTTGCTCAGGTTTACAAAGCTAGAGGTCCTTCTAGGATCCTTGCAAACATTCACAAAAACGACTAACTTACCGAATGATTCCAACCAAGAGTAAGGTTAGAAGATG